CGTCAGCTTTCCTGCTCCTCTGATGCTGCTTGGCCTGCTGTGTTCATCCAGCTCTACACCTTGTTATCTCAGATTCTCCAGCATTGGCAGTCCCCACTATCTCTAATAAAGGCTATCTTTTTTCTAATTTGTTAGCATGTCTTGGTTCTCTGTGATTCCATGATAGGGCAGCACTTGTTTAACAATTGAGCATGCTAAAGTTAATCTGAAAATTATTAAGTGTAACAATCAGTCTTGCAATGTTGCTTTCGTTTGCTAGAAGCTACGTGTAGTCATGTGCAAGGCCATGTCCCCTGCAAACCGACAGAACATGCCCCATGTTACATATTTTTTTCAATTAAACAAAAGCTTGGCGAATATCTGTTGCCTGGTGCATGCTCCATGGCACTGACTTGATGAATTGGAGTTTACTTATCAATCAATTCAGGACCCTTTTTCTGATGGAATATAAATTGTTTTTCTCTTTGAAATTCTGCATTCTTGCATTTGCCTTGATGAGTGCAAGATTAAAGGCTTTAACAACATGTCTGTTTTTCAGCATTTTTGTAGTGTAGTAATGTCCTTTTTTAGTATAGCTATATGTGTGTGTAACTTGGGAAATGTGTATGCTGCTTCTTATTCCTTACAATCATCCCGCTTCATGCACTATTTCTTACCATTCAAAAGGAGAGGCAGAAATCAGTTACTCATCTTAATGCAGTGCTACTTGACATTTGACCTCTTGGCTAGGCACAAGATGTTGTAGGTGACTGTTGCCCACTTACTTTTCTATTCAGGACTATTAGTAATTTTTCTTTCAGTCAGTGATTATGTCTGGTGTATGGAGATTTGGGAACATATGGTAAAAGATGGCAGACAATAAGCTTGTAACAGAGAACTTTGGAAAGAAAATGGGTTAATGCCGGTCTACTCAACCAGGAGCAATAAGTTTAGCCCCTCAATAATAGTTTGTTGCATTAATTTCTCCTCCTTTTCCACCCCCCCCTCTCTCTCTCACAGTATATACAGGTGATTTACAAAATGTCTTCGTGTAATTTTTAATTTGTTCAACTCTTCAGGTTTTGTTGCAAGTCGCATCATATACCAGTGACCCACTGGAGTACCTATATTTTAAAATGATGGATTGCAGCTAAGTGTCTGAAGTTATGGTGTGAAATTTAATAGTTTGAAACTGCTCATTCTTTATTTTAGATATTTGTGCACTTTGGCACAATCACAAATCAGAACATTAGAATTTCCGGAAAGTGTCTTACAAAAATATTCTCAATCAAAGGAATAATTTAATATTTTGGATTTATTTTTAGTGCCACAATAACAACTATCAACAATGATGAAGTATGGTTTAAGAGGACAGACAACAGCAAATCAAAACTTTACATTTCTCAACTGCAGAAAGGAAAATATACCATCAAACATATGTAGTTTCATAGTGCTAATATAGTGTTTTTGTATAAATTTTTTGTATTGTCTCCAATAATGAAGGTGCTGTGACATCTGAATTATAATTAATGAAATACAGTTAATTCCATTTGCAAAAATATTTGGTCCTTAAACATCTCAGAGATAGCAAGGACTGCAGATGCTGGAGTCAGAGACAACAGTGTGGAGCTGGAGGAATGCAGCAGGCCAGGCAGCATCAGAAGAGGAAAAAGAAGAGGTTCAGGGCAGAGGAGATTACCAGAGGGTTGCATTGGGAGAGAGATCCACTGAGGTCTTTTCGGAGGGAGGAGGACATCTTCGTTGAGGTGGGCATTCTCTGCTGCCTGGCTTGCTGTGTTCCTCCAGCTCCCACACTTTTTCGTCTCTTGATTCTTAAACATGCCCAGTTTACTTGGTGAGGAAGAGTTACTTGAGAATGAAATACTTTATATATAGTCACTACCAGTGTTTTTTTTTTCATTTTTTCATTTCAGTAGACCAGGATTTGTATTTGTTTATTATCATTGTGTACACTTAAACTATTCCCCCCCCCTTGTCTGTTTGTACAAATGAAAGGATTTATTTTGTCAAATCTGTATTGTCTGCTTTAAGGAACTTGCTTTACGCTATACCAGAGGCAAATAAGCTACCTATACTGTGTACACTTGTATTGCTTCTGAGTTTGAGACCCCCAGCAGTGCAAAACTCTATCTTGTCCCTCCTGTTACAGTTCAACCACTGAACATTGGACACCACCATATCCATACGAATGTAATACCCAGTGGTACCTGATGAAAAATCTGATGGTACTTGAAAGTTTTCAATCAATAATCCAGCCCTTTATGCCAGTGTCCAACACATGGTTGTTGCATTGGAATGGACCAAACAGAATGGAATAAATGTGAAAACGCTGCAATGTTAACAGTTGGCCTAATGTGTAAAATATTAAATTATAGAGCCATATTTGTTTTTACTTTCCGAATTTCAAGTTTATCAAACAAAGACACAAATAGATCACGGTGCTGTCATCCAATTATCTGTACCAGTTACTGACTTTTTAGAACGTTATAAGAAATGACTTTTGAAAGTGCGCAGTTTGTTGGTAAATACATTAGTCAGTTGTTTATGTTCTCGAACAGTTTTGTGATTATATTTGTGAAATCTAATTTGAACAAATTGGACTGAATTTGCTGAGCATGACCGGTCTCTCTTTTATATAAGGGCAGCGAAATTGAATTAAGTACTTATTTTGGAGTGTGGTTTTGTGCAAACTGGAACCTTTTTTGTAAATCAATGTGCAGTATATTCTGATTAACCTTAATGAAAACAGTTATGTAATTCTACTGATCAGTCTTTCTGCTACACCTGCTAAATTTAGAGAATTTCCTGACATTTGATGTATTGGCTACTGCATGTAAATGAAATATGACAGTTAGTAAGGTCTAATTAAGTTTTTCACCCTTAGGCATATGCCAATCATTTGGTGCCAGAATAATCTCTGGTACGATCACAAAGCCCTGCTGTTATACACGTACCTTGGTTATTGAGGAATTTTACATTTTCTTTGAGCCTACGTGTAAAATGAGTGTACAATTGTCAGCACAATATTGTAATACACTTCAATTGTCACCTCATTTTCTCTCAGTATGGTGTGGTCTCACTGGTTTGAGAAGCATCTACATATGGATTGTCTGGAAAATTGATTCCTGTGTGTAGACCTATCATGAATTTACAGTCTGTGTGCAATGTGAACAAAAATGATGGACGTTGGTTATTTTTGCATGAAAATGGAATTTTAAAAACTGCAAATGGGTCATGAATAAACTTTGTTATACAAGTTATGTTTATTACCATGTTAATAAAAACCCTTTTTAGTGTTTCCTTGCTTTCTTCATTCTGTACATTGAAAATTTTCAGCTTTTGACAAAGTTACATAGGTAAAATAATTTTTATTATCTGTAGAACTAGAATGTTCCAATTTCTTTTCAATTCTTATAACACCAGATAAGTGTCCCAATTGTACACGTGGGGGCCTGTGGAGTAAATGTCATCCATACATTAATTTTTGTACTGGATATAACAAGAGCAATCCTGAGCCTATTTGGCTGGGATTAACCATTTTCATTGAAAATTTGGGGAGTACATATATACGAGATTCAATATATACAAGATTCAATATTTCCTCAGTCTGTATGAAGACATTCAGATAATCAGTTGAAATGCATTCAATTGAATGGAATTGCTGTGGCAAGTAGCACATCATTCAGTAATGACCATTAAATCTCCACTAATTGAGACCAAAATTACTAAAGCATGTAGTTGTTTAGTGATACTTGTGGAATAAGTCACTGTAAATTTATCTTAATGCAATTTCTCATGGAACAATGTGTACCATTAGCTGTATTTTCAGTATTGTCAGCGGCAACTTTCTTTACAGCCCTCAACCCTAATAGAATCATATACTTCCATTGCTAAACATGCTCTTCAACTTTGTCTTTAGGTAAATCTTCAAATGTTGCTAATTCCTTAGTGTTTTAAACAAGTGATGGCCTTGTTTGAATTACTGCAATCCTTTATCAAATATTAAAAACAAAGTGGTTATTATTTGAATTGCTTATCTTTTTGTGAGAATTTCTGCTGGCTGCTCTTAGACTGGAGTTATTGTGTGCAACTAAAGGCAGTTTGAGTCTCTGTTTAACCAGTGTATATTTTTGTACATTGGCATATCATTGGCATGCTTACCAGAAATGCAGTATAAAAATTAGAACATTAAAAGATTAGAATTATTTCAAAAAAATAGAAGTATTTTCTATTATCGTTATTTGACTCTGAAGGATTTTTATTCCCCATCTCAACTACCTTATGAAGGTAAATCATACATAATTTGTTGTATATTGCACTTTTTGGGCTGGTTTGCTTCCAAATGTAGTCCAGTCTCTTAATCCACAATGTATAGCCAAATACTGCAATATTTTAGCAACTTGCATCCCAGATTATTCAATCGTCAATTTGTGTTGTTCAATGCTCTTTAAAATGAATACAGTAAATTTTGTTCCTTTTTCATCAATGATTACTATCTCCACAACAAACACACAATTGTAGATAGAGTAGGATGTATTTAAATAAATAAGCTACTGCAGACCAGAGGTGGAATTAATGTTTTACTTAATGCTGCCTCAAGATTGAACCTGGGTAGATAAAGGAAAAAAAAACTAACTTGTAAGTTAAATAAGCCTAAAAGAATAATGCAAAATGTCACCTTCTTAATTGACTAATTTTGTGATCCAACTCTCCCTTGTATATAAATCTATGTATGAATTATACATGATGGCAGTGATCATGAGTATTATCTGGAAAATCTAAATCAGATGATTAAAACATAGTGCTGTTGAAAAATTAGTGCAAGCTTTTGTACAGTAAGCTAACAAAACTAAAATAATTTGGCTCTAAACATAAAATTATACTGACATTTCTTCTTGGATTGATCTTTCTTCTAATTGGATGGGTTTTATTCATCTTTAGGAGCATTTTAGCTAACATTGATCAACAAAGGCTAGTTTTTGCAAGGCACCCGCACTCACGTTTGCATCCTATTACTCCATAGCATTAAATTCTTTAACATGTTGGCCCAAACATGACAATTTTCCTCTTGTATTAGTTGATTTTATCACTGATGTGGTAATAATGAATGTTCCAGCATGTTTTATTTTGGAAAGGAGAACAGAGGCTGATTATTTTATGAGGCACAGCCAAGTACTTTAATCTGCTCAAGCTCCCCAATTCTAGTCTAAAAATGCCAGAACATTCATTATCACTTTTAGTGGAAAGATGAAATTAAATTGTAATGCAACTATTATGCCCTGGCAGTTGAGCTTGTTTTCAGGAAGCTGGATTTTTATCATGTATTTTTTTTTTGTTTTTCCTGTGTCCATTAGGTCAATGCGATACATCTGTTGTGTGGGTGAAGAGAGTTAATAAGCTTTCTGCTTTTGAGCGCTAGTTTGCTGCTCATTTTCAAACTACATGACTGGTTAGCAGGTATGTGAGAGAACCAAATGTATAAGTGCCTATCAGTGCAGATTAGCAGCCGTGCATCCACGTGTTGACACACAGAAACTGGGTACCTTGTGGCCCCATGCTAAATTTTAAAAGGAACTTGGGAGGTTTGGCCTCTGATAAGGTGTGCTGTTTGACTGACAAGTGACATGCTCTGGCAGTCATGAGCTTATCCAAAGGCAAAGGCCTCAACTGTTGCTGAAGGAGTAAGCTCTGACAAAAGTCTGGCATGAATCTCAAAGGCAAACATGTCTATAAATGTAATCTTTCTAGTAATTCCTGCAACCAAGCTGGTGTAAAATGTTTTGCATTCCTTTGCACTAAAGTGGGGAAGTCTACAGGGGAAACCTGACGTATGGGCAATCCAGGGTATTCATGCAATTTTTCCTTCCTTGACTTGCAATCTGGAGCTGGCACACCAGACCAGTACGTGGGAAACAGACTTAACGCAGAGTTGACCACCGTGGTGCAAACTATCATCTTGCAAGAGAGAGGTCTACTGTTCTTTGGCTTTAGTTGGAACATGTAAAACAGTTGTTTATTAAATAGAAAATAACTGATACTGAGGGATGGTGGTTTTATATTCTAGTAATTTTGCTAAAATTAGGACCTCATACATATCAATAATTTAGCCATGCAATGCTGCTTTTGTTCATAATACATCATAACTTTTCTTTACAAAGTAAACATTTTATTATGTTGCATCCATGGAACCAGGAGTGTGCCAATTCATCAGATATTTTGGATAATCAAGAGGTGTACATCATCAATGTAAAAACATGCTGAGTAGTAGGAACATAATGCAGGTAGTATACACATCATTTATTTAAGTGATATATGCTGTAAATATAATAATGCAACTTTGCCTTAAAACGTAACAGCAGGCAGCCTTCTCACTCACCTGCAACTGACTACTAAGTGTGGCAGATCGCAGTCTTTGAGGAGAAATTGACTCCAATTGAATCAACTGTTGATATTTCATGTGACCATTCAATGGAATAGGTATTTACACTGGTAAATAAACTTAACAAACTATAATAATTGGACAGAATAATATGTAAACTATCTTATTAGAGGTATATAATTTTTGCTGGTTTATCAAGATTCTGGTTCATAACATGCTGGCTAAAACAAAGTTTGTTGTAACTACAAAATCGAATAAGCTGAGAACATCTTTAATACAGGAGAAACCAATGGGTGTGTTACATCACAGGTGATGTACATGCTGGAAGTACAGTGTATTATTCATAATGTTCAAGTATGAGTCAGGTCTGTAAATATTCCAATTTCAAAATATACAAAGGTCATATTCTATACTCAGAAATTATTATAATAGGTTTATTAAATAGATTAATGATTCAAATTAACTTTAGTTAGTAACACCACACTTGGCTGATTCTTTGGATGAAACAGTTGTTATGAAGATATGTTAAGCAGATTGGGTCAATACTCACATATTTAATAAACACAAGTGGTATTATTGAAGCATAATATTCTGGGTGGGATTCACAGGCTCGATGCTGACAGAATATGTTCCCGCAAGGGAGCATCTGGGAAAAGGACAGTTTGAATATTAATGTTTGATACTTCAAGCAATTCTGCAAACCTAAATGCAACCCTTCTTTGACATTGCCTTTTGGTGGCAGTAAACTCTGACAGAAAATGGGTTGTATGTGATAATGTGATTTTAAAATCGACATTTTTGCACTGACAATATTTAAAATGTAATTTTTGCTATTCATTGCAATTGTTAATAATCCTTTTCTTCCTAAATATGTTTTCAGTTCATCATTTTTAAAGGGGAGATGCAATGTTCCTTAATCCACTGCTCATGACTGCAGTACAGGCTTATATCCAGAAGGTGGCAAATATGAGCTAATGCTGAATAAATGGAACTTCAGAATTAGAGTATTGATCGGGTGGGGAGGGAATTCTCACTTTACACTTCAATAGTCTCAAATGTAAGAGATTTGTTAAGCTACAAGTTGCCAAAATAGACTTCAATTTGTTATCCATTTGAATAAGATGGAGATGGCAGATCCAGGTTGTTCTGCTTTTCTTGCATAGCTTTTCTACCCAAGGACAATAAAGGGTTCCAAGTACCGACTTGTTGATGCTAGCAGTGGTTCTGACTTTCAGAAAATTGTATTCAATGTCGAATTCTGCTCACCAGAATTTAATCACATTTTCTGTTTAGTAGGGCAACTGCTGTCCTGTTTTTAACCTTTTCTATGTTTCATCCAATTATTTTTGATAATTGAAATAATCCAAATGAAGGTTGAAGTAATTTCTAATAAGCAGTTTGCTGTGGAATGAAGCTGAAGGGAAGTGAGAGATGACCTTTTAAAGGTGGTCTTACAACTTGTACGTGAGTCTACAGGCGCACTAATTCAGGATGTGCAATTGTGACTCAGAGCAACAGACCATTCCCATGTCAATCATGCCATGGCAATTTCTATAAACAAGTGAAATAGATTTTATGCACATATTTTGTGTTTTGTAACTCACCTCCATCATATTTTGCTTTCATCGAGAGAAGTTGGAACATATTTAGTCAACAGTGTAGTTTGCTCCAGCTGATAGAGGCACTTTAAAAGTCTGCTTTTGCTTAAATCTGTGCTGTCCTAAAACCTGTCTTGGTACCAACTCATTGTTTGAAACAGTGGTGGTAATAAACACTTTGGATAAAGTTTCATTGCATTAGCTATTTCCAAAAATACCATATAAAGATTGAATATCCAACAAACTGGGAAGTTATTTGATAGTTCAACTATTCATTTCCTTCTCAAATACCCCAGAGTTCACCTGCAACATATCTGCAAT